GAATACGTACAAACAAATACACAAACAAAAAAAGTATAACATGTACGAGTACATTGTACAATATCTACTAAATCAAATATTTACAATATCTCTAAAGTTGTAGCTTTTTAAAGTTATAAATATGCATGTTCGTAAACATATAAATACAAAAAATAAAATGGAAATATGCTCTTAAGTTGATGTTTATTAACTGCAATATTATTTATTACAAGTCTATTTTTTATTTTTGTTATTTTATTGCAAAGCAATTAAAAGATTAGATTTGGATACGATTTTAATAGGGTTTGATACGGTGTATTATGTGTGTTATAGTCGTCTCAAGGTTTTTTATTCTTATTTAAATTAAGAGAATTATATAACAGTACATACATATATAGGTTCTATCGAATGAGGATTTTTTTATAAAGCCTTAATATGAATACTTTATCATTAAGGAATTTTTTTTGGATATTTTTGATTCAGAAAAGTTCTAATTTATGACAGTTTTCAAAACTACATCCGCATAAGACGAAATGTATGATAATATCCTAAGTGTTTTATTATGTCCTATTATCAATTTATTTGTTTTTTTTTTCTTCTTTTTCTAAGTGTCCGTTAATGGTCTACAAGAGTGTGAATTGTTTTTGTTTGGGTACAATAAACGAGTTAAATCAAAACACGCGGTAGCGTGTCCAGCCAAGTTCAAGCCAAAGGAACTGGCGACGTAGCACTGTGTGTATATTTACACGAACCATTTGGAGCCACTTTTCACCTCGTAATAACTCAAAATCTATTTAACATAAACTCATGAAATTTGGTTTGTTTATTAAATCTCTTTAGATTAACTAGAATCCCCAATTTCATAAATACAGCTCAAACGGTTATTGAGGTATTAACTAGTTATGTAACGAACATTCGCATTCGCGAATATTCGCATATTTTTTGACATTCGCAATGCGAATGCATTCGTATTCGCAAGAAACGATGCGAATGTTTGGCGAATGTATTTGACAAACAAAAAGGAAATTATATAAACGAATGAACGGACGAATGAAAATACAACTATGCTATACTCATGTTTTATATCACTTTGTCAATTTGACTAGGTATTACTTAAATTTGGCAAATGCAATAATACTAAACTAACCTCACATCACAGCAAATCTTTTTGAACGAACTCTCTGACTAACTTCGTTCATTAAACCTGTATCGGCTCGGCTATGTTCTAGTTTGGCTATGTGGCTAGTTTTTATATACAAGTTATCTTATATTCGGCTAATCACTTATATCTTCTTTATGCTATACGCAAGTTACTGTTTTTATATTGTAAGGTCAACATGTCACTCTTCTAAAATCTTGCTTTACTGGTAAAAACTAGCCAAGTCAACACTTGAACTTTAATTTATCCTAAGTTATCTACTCTGCGTAAATAATTCGACTGTTCAAATTTAAGAAGTTCTATTTTTAAATAGCAAACACTATTGTAGCAGAAAAGAACAAGAAATTGTGTTTTGAATTTATTTTAGAATGTTGTATGTTCTTATGAAAACATTTCAGGATTATCTAAAGAAGTTGGCACCCATTTAGATCTCAATTTTTTTGTCGGTGAAGTTGACAACCACGCTCATTCTTAATATTGAACTTGGCTCCCATTTTCAAATTTATGTTTTGATGGGATTATTAATTAACTAGAGTCTCTCCCGTGACCATGATTACTGAAAAGCACTGAAAACGTCGGGAACCAAAAACCAATATAAATCCGTTGTCCGCGAAAAAACCGGTATGATTATAGTTTTATTTTAATCTAATAATAAATAGAATTTAAAGAATTATAATCAAACAAACAATTTATTTGTACTGCTACTAAGTAATAAGCTCTATCTTTTCGCCACGATCGTAATCGAAGCTATTGCTTTAAAAATCACATAGCAAGGTATAATACACTGTGATTTGTTACGCATGGAATATGTAGACGTCCGTGCATCATCGGGTTTGTAGGTCCTACTGTGAGAGGATAGCCGTGAGTTTTACAAAAATACCCAAAGGTAGACTTTATATTATATTTTTGCTAAAATAAATATTGTTTAGATTTTTAATTTATTACAAGTTTTTAATTTAGTACAACTATAACAATAACTTAAAAAAATCGAATAATAATTGATGATATTTGAAGAAAGATACACACCTCTTCCATTTTAACATTTTTTTAGTGTATATATTAAAATCAGCGTAGTTATATGTAAATCAGTTTAGTAAATGTAGTGTAGTGTTTGTATTAAAATGATATTAGCTGCTACGTAAAAGGTTCAATCCACTTACAATAAAAAAACACTTTAACAGTTTATTTTGTTATTTTCTTATCAAGTCTATAATAAATAATATCTAAATAAGAAGTATGCTTAAAGTCGTCATGACTTATTCTAATAAATATTATCTTACTATTAACTTAAGTAAAAATAATTCTTTTAAGAAATTAAATATATTTTGTTTAACTATAAAATAATTATTTACCATATATGTACATGTTTATATTTTTTATTTTTTATTTTTATGCGAGTATGTGTAAATCTATACTAATATTACAAAAAGGTAAAGTTTGTGAGATTGTGAGATTGTCAGTTTGTGACGTATATCGTTACAAACTCACAATCTCACATAATCTCTGGATCTACTGAACAGATTTAGATGAAATTTGGTCTGGTGGTGGTTTGAGACCTGGGAAGGACATAGGACACTTTTTATCCCGGAAATAATCCCTTAAAGGGATGAAAATGGGTATTACAGTTTGTATGGGGAAGCAATCTAGGGACGAACCCGAGCGAAGCGTTTTCCTACAATAAAAAGTACCCGTCCATGTATGTCCGTATATCGCTGTCCAGCCCTCCAACTATCTCCACACAAAAATCACGCTAATCCGGCACTCTGTTTCGACGTGAAAGAAGGACAAACACATTTTCACATCGTAAAAATTTTACTCTCATATTTTTTTAAGTATAACTCCAAAACAATTTGCGCCTTATGATTATAAATATCAACGACATTACTTTTTTTTAAATAAAACATGTTTTTCACCAACTGTAATCTATGAGACTCGTCAAATCGAATAAAATTAGTCAAAACTCGCTTAAACGTATCTAGTACTTACAAAAGTTCAAAGCGATTCGAAAATTAGAATTAAGTCAAAATCGACTTGCATGATTTGATTATATTACAATTAAAGCGAATAAAGCTTGACATTAATATTACATGTAAACTAAACGTATACCTATACTTACAAAACTACCTACAAAAATAATTATTGGGTACCGCCAACCGGGACGCAGTGGCTCGATACCGGCGGAATGCCGAGAGCAGAGCAAAGGAATCAATGATATTTTAGTCTAGCAAGGGTCAGACAGGGTGGAGATTAAATAGTACTTTCTATTTTAGATGGATTCTCCTTGTCTTCTCCCTGTGAAGTGTGCGATAATGTTTAAAGTAAACATGTAAATTAAAAGTTTTGTCCTAATATCTAGATGATATAAATTTCGAATTCGCGACAATCGAACCGGTTCTACATCAAATGTATGAATACCGATAATAATGTATTTTTATAATGTACATAAATAAATATTTATAAAATATTGGTCTTAAAATATACGCCAGTCGATAAAAAATTATTTTGATGCGAATACAAAAATTAATAAGAAAAATGGAACAAAAATTTTGTGAGAATATTTAAAAAAAAATGCTATTATAAAGTGTAAATTAAAACATTGGAACCATTAGATGTAATAAAAAACGAATAAAGATCATTATGTCACAATATTGGTAGTTATCAGGGCATTAATATTTCTTTTTTATTGCTACTTCTAAAAGCTATATAAATATTTTTTTTTTCTTTACTCAGGCTGATAATCTCAGCTAAGTTTAATGACTTATTTTAATATCTGTTACTAACTTTCCTGACTTTTATCTAAACATGGCTATAAATAAAGTAAACATATAACAGCAAGTTATCTTAATATACAGCAGTACTTGTAACCTTCGACTCTTTCCGTCTTGTCTGTCACATTTTGGATCGGTACTATTGCTGATATGAAGCAAGTTGTACAGTAGAGGAAGCACCCGTGATTTCCGAGTACATATTATGTATGTATGTATATGAAACAAGTAGCAAATAACGTAGAGTTTAAACTGTTTAATTAAGACTCTTGAGATTTTAGTTACAATTGAAGTGAAGAAATTCTGCTGTAAACATTCCCGTTCATAAGAAATAGCGAGAAAAAATTATTCCTATAAATATATATGAAACATTTAATTCATTATGCAAATAAATTATGCAATACAATACAAACATTGTAAAATATTAGGATTTCACGTTAAATATTATTAATTTATGGATCCTTATTTAAAATTTTGTCAAATAATAAAACAAACGCTTAAAGCTTATAGATATTATTGTTATTTTTATTTTTATATTTTTTATCGTGAATACATAAAGCTCGTATTAGCGAATTCATATATAGCAGAAGCTATCGCGGGAATTCATTTAAAAAGTTTTTTACAAAAAGTTGTGCCAATCTTCTTTCAATTATAAGAGAATCATTATCTAACAAGCAATTGATCACAAATGCATATGAGATTGATGACGGCGTAGCCTTGAGCTGGATTTTTATTTTTTTCACGAGGCCCTTAATAGGTCGTTGCGATAAAAGTCTGGCCATGGTTCACGTATGTCTACATGTTTGTTTTTCCTGTGGTCGATTGATATCCAAGATCCACAGTTATTAGATCGTGGATATAGAGCGTGAAATCAAGCGTTCGGCAAGAAGTACTAAGGTATATAGGGGCAAAACGTGCCGCCGGCACTTCAGTCGCTACTCGCTAGCTCTCGGACCCTCAACGTCGCTCTGCTACGCGATCGACTATCGGCACAAGGAATTTTCTATGTACTGTTATGTTAGTAAACAATAAGTTTATAAATAAAAAGCGCGCCGTGAACACCCCATCAGTCTTGTTGTGAACTTAAATGGACAATCATGTCTCTTCCGGGAGTTTTCCTTTTTTCCCATTACGTGGAAAGCTTTTGGGTGAGTTTGAATTGAGATAAAACTTTTATATAATGCAATTTATTTTATTTTTAATAAAAAAAATCACGTATAAATAATAATATACAATGTTAATTGAAATAATTTTTATTTAATTTTTTTTTTGCTGTTATTAAACGTTGTGTAGAAAATGCATTTATTGTTTCGTGAACATAAAATATAACATTAAAAATTGCAGCACATTAGTAGATCCATGTATGTACGTAAAGTGTGGAACATTAACATTTTTTCTCTTAGTGGAAGCTATACATTATTCACGCATTTTTCTTGTGTATCATCCGTTGATTAGACGTTACACCATTATTGCGTGTTTCGGGATCCGTCTACTACGGTTGTGGTCAGTTACCGGCTCTAAATTTACTTTTTACTATGAATTAATTGAGTTAATTGTGAATAAAATGAAAGCTTTATGTCTAACTTATGCTGTGTAGGATTTTTTTAAAAGCTTCTTGGATTTATTTTATTATTACACGACGTGTGTGAGAGAGTATGTTTGTAGAGTTACGATCTTAATGTGCTCCATCGACATAAATTTTATACGCTTACAATTAAGAAAACTCGACTACTCATGCGTAGAGCAGGTTACGGTCGGCGGATTTTCTTTAAAGTTCATAGCTTCCTGCACAAATAGATAATTGCTATAGTCTATGACCTTTGGAAAATTGTATAAGTGAATGAAACAACAAAATTTTAATACACCATTGAGAAATTTAATAATTTACTTCAGTATGAGTTGTCAATCGTGTTATTATATTTCAGTTACGACGAATTAATAAAACCTATACAAGGGCAAAGAATGCAAATTTATGTATAATTTGTTCCCATTAAAAATATAATCAATTTTCAATTTCTGAATTGTATATTAGTATATAGTAAAAATTTTTGTATTATGAAAATAGTCTAAAATATAATTGTTTTATTCCGATAAGTAAAATTTGAAAAGAAAAATCCTAAGTAATTTCACATGTATAGTACGAATAAGTAAAATGTAGCGTCTTGGGTGTTTCCGGGGTCAAAATCTCATACATATTAGTATTTTAGATATACCAAAAAAATAAACTTTAAATATTAGTGAATTTAAGGTAGTTTAAATACTATTTTAAATAAGAATTAAAATGAAAATTTAATCTTCTAACACTCTGAATTGACTTATTATGTTGGCCAAAAGAAGACTTCAACTTTTAAACTTTCCACTAATAAAGCATTTTACATTATAGTAAATAGTTTAAAAAATAATAAAAAATATATTACAAAGTGAATTTCAAACCTTTGTTTGAACGGTGATGTGTACTACGCTTAAGACAACAGAAGCAATTCGTGCGCCTAGTTAACCGCGACGTTGAATATGCAATATTCGTTCACTCATCACGGTTTTAATATTCTAACGATCGCTTACTTTTGTCTGACTCAAGGTTAATTTTTTGTTCCATATAATTAATAATAAATAGTATTGAACGCATTATGATATCGGTCATTTGGAAATGTAAACAGCAGCCGAGGGATTTCTGCTGGCGATGCAATTATTATTGATATGAACATAATTTAAAAAGTCTAAATTCAGCTCGCGCACTAGTTACCACAATTTTGATTCTGGCACAGCGAATGTTTCTATAGTCGCGATCTCATATTTTGTTCATGGTAGTAGTCCTTTAATAGCAAGCATAAGCACAAGTCGACTTATTAAATGCTTTAGTTGATATATTACAATATTTAAAAAAAAATGAAGAAACAAACGGCTTATATAGGTAGAGTCGAAATATAAAAAAGTTATAGTACGAAAAATAAAGAGTTTCAGCTAAGTTTGAGGAACGACAGGTTGGAGCAATACTAAACAGCATGCTTAATAAAATTGTTGAAGAAATCAACTTTTATTCAATTCAATTTTCTTATTCATGACCTTTGTTAAAAAAATACTTCACAATAAATATCATGAATATTACATAGTTGTAAATACGTTAAAAATGACGATTTTCTTTGCTAACTGAATTAATTATTATGAACCATCTTTTTAAGTCTCAAATCTCAATCCATATTTTATGTTAATAAGATTTATGTAATTAGAACGCGAAAATATTTACTCATAAAACTCGTTATTAATTATATATTAAAAAATCCTAGACAAACAAAATTTTAAAATAAGATATTTCACAACCTTGAACGTGTTTAGGTAAAATCGGTCATTGTTCTTTGAGTAGCACTTGTTCCCTGAACTATTTGTGCGATTTAAATATCATAGTCTAGTTTATTTACAGCAGTAGGTATAATAAAAATAAAAAAATATTTAAAAATGTAATATTTAATAATTTATAAAGAAATCAATGTTTAATTTATTATTTATTTAATTTTCGCGATCGTCAATGTTTGATAAATTCTTATGCTCTCTCTCCCTACGTCGTAAAAGGAATGTGCCCTCCAAATTTCCTGTTTCTAGAGCCAGTGGTTTAGGCTGCTCGATATGCGCCTGTCTGGTTACACATTTATATATAACTCATTTATACTCGCTAAATGGCAACTCAGCAAATTCTACGGAGCTTCGAATTACTTCGACGCATTAAGTTGTAATTTACGCAATGTTGTAGGCAAAACTACGAATATTTTATCTTTAAAATACTGTACACGATCTAGCTAGCTATTTGTTAAACAACACGATCAAATCAAATTTATTATTATTTGTTCGTGGCTCGGTAATAGAAAACGTGGAAGACAGTCAGAAAATTGCGGTCTTAATGATATGAAAGTGAAGACACTATATAATATGTGTATAGATCGTATGTTTTGTTTGTAAAAATAATATTTAGTGTTTTGTGACACTATTATCGTCGCTTATAAGTTAATACACCACACAATTAAGGAAGTTACAAAGATTTTCGTAATATTTTTCTCAATTAGGTAGGTATTATTATACCTACCATTGCTCTATATACCTAGATACTTTACTAGCGGCTCACCCACGCTTCGCTCGGGTTCGCCTCTAGAAAAGCAAAAACGAATCTATTCCTCGGGAACCGTATATTTGTCCGGGATAAAAAGTAGACTTTGTGTTATTCCAGACTATAATCTATCTTTGTGTCAAATTTCATCCAGATCCGTTCAGTCGTTCTGGCGTGAAAGAGTAACAAACATCCATACATCCATACTCACAAACTTTCACATTTATAATATTAGTATAGATTATTGCTACTGTTATATCTTTATATTCACGGTATAATAATTAATATACTCAATAGCCTAAACATTTAACCATAACATAACTGTCGTTACATTATTAAAATATAAGCTAAAGAATTGTTTTGTTTTCGGTAACAAGTGTTAAAAATTCACTGCCATCGGCGTTTTTTATTTTTATTACTTTGTAGATAAAATTGGTAGTATTTAAAAAAAAAAGGAAATATAAACACATAACTACATTAAAAATATTTTTAATGTAGAATATGTCTATGTTGAATTATCTAAGTATAATTTAACTATGTTTCGTTAACATTTATCATATCGTAAATCAATTGTACAAATGTATTTCTTACAAGTACTTCTTATATTACAATGTGATAAAACTTTTTCTAAACTAATTTTTACCACCCATCAAGCTGTCAAGTTTGAGCATCTGGTAGGCTCTACATTAGCGTCTAATTTTCTTGGAATTAAGTTAATCGGATGAAAAGTGTATCAAAACGAACATAATATATGATATTACATATATGCCGTCCATCTAATCTGCCTAAATATAGGCTAAGTAATACATTGTTATTGGGTTACATATAAAAAAAAATTGTTATATTGGTCGCATGTTACTTATCTATACATATAATAAAATTCTAACCGAGTCGAATCTGTACATTAAATATTTTTTGGAAAATCTTATTGAAATATTCATTATAATCGATACAGAGGCCGAATCTATAGTTATTAGAATTTTTGTCTGTCTGTCTGTTACCGCATCACAGAAAAACTACTGGAGGGGTTTTGATGAAATTTGGTATGGTGACAGCTGGTTATCCGGGTCAACATATAGGATACTTTTTTCTGCGGGAAAATATTTCATCTCTGAGAAATCTACTAAATGTATATACTAAATGTTAAAACGCAAGTAGGGACAAACCCGAGCGGAGCGAGGGTGAGTCGCTAGTATCATATATGGCTCTATGTAGATTATAATTAATATTTCATTATTAATATTTGTTTGTACATTTCGTTTGTTTTGTATAAATCGTATGGTATTTTATAAAAAAAGTTATAATTTTAGTTTAAAGGTCTAAGTTTCGTGTCGTATCGTATCGTATTTAGTGTAAAATTCTATTTAAGTACGTTCTAGACTTTTTTCCGCAAAAAAGTAAGAAATATATGCATTAATTTATAGCTCTTTTCTTTAGTTTACGGTATTAAGTTAAAATATAAGTTGAAATTTAAATTTGACCGTCTCAAATAAAAAATCAATTTAAACTTATGACGCTGTTGCATTAAAAAATTATGCACACTTTTAGGTAAATAGTGATTAATAATAACTACTGAGACATCTTAAATTCCTAAATGGTAATTAAATATTCCTGGAAACGTTTGTAATGATCTGGGGTTTGTGGTTTGGGAATGGTATAGTAACTGAACGTCACTCCCTAATAAGTTGGACGCCACAGGTTCGCTTCTCAGAGGGGGCAAATGTTTTGTCTTACCTACAGCTGCCGTCCCCGACTAGTACATAAATCAGCACTGTATAGCGTAATTTATATAATATTAGTGATTTTCAAACATAAAACGTCATTATTATTAATAATAAAAACTTTTTAACAAAAAAATAAAAACCGACTCCAAACAAAAGCACTAAAAAGTAAAAAATAACTGATTGGTAGTTTTCACTTACTATACATACCTAATCAAATATTTTCGAAGTCGGTGTGCTTTGCTTTGTATGGGCTGGCACCGATTTCGAAAATATTTGATTAGGTATGTATTTAATAGGTAGGCTTTAATTACTTAGCCAAAGCACACCG